TTCTTTAATGTTATTCTTATAGTATTGTTGCTGTTCTTTTGATTCCTTTTTCGGCGTTTAATTCTTTTTTAAATGTTATTTCTTCTCTCTTTCTGTAGAATTAAAATGTTAGGAGTTTGAAACGAGATTGTTGATTGCAAAAAGTTCCCAACATTTTTTTAGTCATTCCAGACGTGATTTTATAGCGTTATTGTTGAAGAAAACCCTTCAGACTCTGAAATGTGCTGCTTTAGGATCTAATGGACTCTTTTATATTCCAGATTGATGAAATGTTCATATGTGACTGATTGCTCAACATGTCTATTGTTTAGGAGAAATTGTCTAGTCGAGTAGATGCTGATTTTAAATGCTTGTACCAATGAGAGAAGTGATGCTTTAACCTTCAGGATTGTTCTTTGCTCCTGTAGCTTTACCCTGCTGTTACTCTGGTACCGACATTCAGCTGCTGAAACTCGCGACGCCACAAGAAAACGCGTCAGATCGCAAAGCGACCGGCTTGGTTTTATTCACTGCTGGTCGTCGTGACTGAGTTTCTCAGCTGAAATCTCGTTTTTCTTTCTTCAGTCGGTTGTAATGAACCTCTGTGCCAAATAAAACAGCGTTACGTAGAACGTTACGTGTTACGTGATTCATTATTTCTGGGCTGAACTGAATTCTGTGTTTGGATTCTTCAATATTAATTCAACATAACACCTTACAGGACAGCCAGGAACCTTGGAGTTATGATTGATGATCAGCTGAATTTCTCAGACCACATAAAACAAAAATAACGACTTTATTCATCACGTCATCATGCCGGATCTGGGTCAGCGCCGGCGCCGCCACACGCCCGCGTCATGGTACTGTCGTGAACGTGCGTCCAAAGTGACGCAGTAGAGACGAAAATGTGGAATAAAGTCGTTATTTTTGTTTTCTTTGCTCAAAAATGTATTCTCTTAGCTTCGTAACTTTACAGTTGAACCACTGATGTCACACGCACTAGTTTGTCGATCATCTTGCCGGATCTGGGTCAGCGCCGGCGCCGCCACAGACTCGCGTCATGGTACTGTCGTGAACGCACGTCCAAAGTAAGTAGAGACGAAAATGTGGAATAAAGTCGTTATTTTTGTTTTCTTTGCTCAAAAATGTATTCTCTTAGCTTCGTAACTTTACAGTTGAACCACTGATGTCACACGCACTAGTTTGTCGATCATCTTGGTACTTTTCTGGACCTTGAACGTGGTAGTTACCTTGCTGTCTATGGGAGGGTCAGAGAGCCCTCAGATTTCATAAAAAATATCTTAAATTGTGTTCCGAAGATGAACGAAGGTCTTACGGGTTTGGAACAACACGAGGGTGAGTAATCAATGACAGAATTTTCATTTTTGGGTGAACTATCCCTTTAAGCAGTACATAAAAAGTGTTTCTGTTGCTTCATGAAAACGTCTCTGATAAGTCTGTGTATTTGACAGATATTGCATGTAATTCACTTCTGTGATAACCAGTGCTGCTGCCTTTTCATTGAAAATTAAAATTAATTTATTAATAAATGTTTGATCTCTGCAGCAGATATTGAGTCTCTCAGGATGTTCAGCTCATTTTTCATTCCCCCCCCCCCCTAAAAAAAGCATTATTTTCATGACAATAAACTCAAAAATAATGTTATTATTAAAAGAAGAGGAATTGTATTTGGGCAGGAGGATTTTCATAACCGTATTACAGTAATGAGACTGAGTGTTTTTATGAGAATGTGAGCTTAATCGTCATGAAAGTAATGTCACAATGCAACATATCTTAATATTTCTTAAAGCGTGAAACATGTTCTTTGTTAGGCTAAATATAATCCATGACTTTATTATTTTGATCTTGGTGTGAAATATGACCTGCTCATGTTCTGAAGTTCAGGCCAAAATGTCAGACAGAAAGTGATGCATGAATAATTAAAGCAGCAGCAGTAGCAGTGTGTGAGAGAGAGAGAGAGTGTGTGTGTGTGTGAGAGAGAGAGAGAGAGA